GCCTGCACACGCATGCACACACACACAATCACACAGCAACCACAGAGTCTTGGTTGACTTCCAGGTGTGTCAGAGAGAATACCATCAGACATAACATTAAATATTCATCACCCCAGAGAGTCAGCGCTCCGCTGGGGAGTCTGATGCAGTTCTAACAAGACGGTGAGATTTCCTTCAGCTTCTGTGACATGTTTGGTTCAAACACGTCATCATGCTTCTGCTTAACTCTAACATCTCTGTTGCTCCATAGAATGTAGAGTGCCACTGCAGGAGGATGCCCTCAGAGCTGGCAGGACACCAGGTCCCAGATCCTGTTGCTTTGTTTCCGTAGGGTAGGGCTGGATGACATGATCACACCCCTGATGATACCTTGAGATACTGGCATGCTTGGATCCTGTTAACTCCAAAGATTTTTCTTTAGAAATGGCAGTATTTGTTTTCAGACTGAAAGCAGCCATATATCTCAGCTTCTACAGTGGCTGGGGTGGGGGGGGAGCTGTGATTAGGGACACAGGGGGCCCTAACTCCTCTGTGTTTTTACCCACGGTGTGCCTTACAGAAGGCCTGTGGATGAGGGCACTCACTCACCACTTGCCTCCACTCACACAGCAGATGCTGAAATGCCCACAGTGACTTAGTAAATGGCTAAGAAGGGGTCAAACCAAGACAGCAGCCCTGTTTTCTCCTGGCTTTCAAACTCCCCCATTCAGACTTGCCCCTCATTCTCACCGTTCCCCTGCCCTGCAATGGAACACTAGTAAACAAAAACCTTAATCTACACACCAGTGTGACTATTCTTGGAACAAGGAAGACCCCTGAAGCCCTGGAAGTCTCCTGAAGTCTCCACTGGGAGACTGGGACAGATGGTGACCTCCAGCACAAATCCCCCGCTCCCCACAGAAAGAGGAGATGGCACAGGAAGGTCCCTTGCATGCAGAAGTATCGCTTGTTTGCTCACCTCAGAAGGCTGCCAGTCATCACTCAGGAGCAAGGCACAGCCTGGTCTGCCACAGAGGGCATTGGGCAGGGTCTGTGCTCAGCAAGTCACAGCTGTTTTTTTCTTTATATATTTTATTTAGCTCATCTCTGATATTTAAAAGAATATTTTTATTATTTGAAAATTTCACATAATATATTTGGATCGCAGTCACCCAAGCTCCTCCCCTTAACACCTCTCAGCTCCTCCCCACCTCTAACCCTACAGAGACTTCAGTTTGTGCTGCCCATAAACTCCTGGCTCTAGACCTATCCACTGGAGTATAGTTGACCTGCCAGGAGCCACATCTTAAAACAATAACCTAACTCCGCCCCCCCCAGAAGCTATTAACTGTCCATAGCTCCTTAGTTAGGCACGGGGATTCATGAGCTTCTTCCCCTTCCATGCATAAACGTGATGGATTTATCTGTGCATGAACATAACACTTACAAATTAAACCCGAAAAAGATGACCGGAAGGAGTAGAGAAATGACAGAGATGGGACAGCAGCTGGCGGAGTTCTTCGAGATTAATGCGGGCAGCCAGGACGAAGGAGAAACAGAATCAGAGCTGTCCAGACAGAAGGGATGGTACTGACCAGGCAGGAAGAAGGTGCAAACAGCCCTGGGACGCAGGGATGCAAGTATTGAGCGGCCAGGGGTGGCCGTCCCACACTGGAGACGACGCCTACGGCATCTTTAGCTAGAATGAAGAATTTCTAGCCAATACCTATACTTTTCTTGTCACTATAACCACATTCTAAATGGTTCATTTTGGTTCACGGCATCAGGACCATCATCCGTCATAGCAAGAGGCATCTTGGCTGGAGAGGGTCTGTCCCTGGTCCTTAAGGGAGCTCCCAGCATGGGTTTGTCACATCAAACAGCAGGCAGGAAGCAGAGAGCTAGGCTGGGGGACTGTACACCTTCTGGGACCTGCCTCTCCAGCCTGACTTCCACCAGCTAAGATCGTAGCCAGCAGGTTACACAATCTCCCCGAGCAGAGAGAGCAGCTGAGCAACCGGTGCTCAAAATCATGAGCTGGGGACGAAAGTTTACAAACTGTAACAGGGTGGCCAGGTCACGTTTGTGTTTTTGAGGGATCCCCAGGGTGCAATTGAAAACTAGCCTTCAGTGTCGAAGGTGGAGGAAAGAAAGACAGCTCTGAGCAGACAGGGCCTGAGAAGACCAGATAAGTGGGGTCGGGAGAAAGAGGAAGTGGGCGGTAGCTGGAAATCCGCCTCCTGGCAAGGCACACCCTCTCCAGGATTTCACTTTATTGGCTGCTATCTCTGTGGGGCTGAACTTGATCACAACTAGCAGAACATCCTCAAGTTCCACTGGGATTTATTTCAGAATCTCTTCCCAGCAATGCAAATCCAACAACCAGGGAGCCATTTACGACGGAGGAAAGCCTTGGCTTAGGATGCAGAGTGTATACTTGGGACCAGGAATGGAGTGTGCAGGCTTTATTGGGTCCACATGCCATGGAATTGCAAACATCAACTTTCTGATAATGAGGGAAGGCCATACGGAGTTTAAAGACATCCAGGGGAATGACTAAACTACTTACCCCAAAACATATGTCGTGATTCCACTGTACGTTATGCTATAGATGAGTCAGCCCGAGAGAGCTGAATTTAGGCTTTTTACAGACCCCTCCTTTCAGGATGTCAGAGCTTCTCCTTAACTACAGGGAAGAGGAAAATGATGATACAGTTGGGATCTGGTACCTCTAAGACTAAGATGGCCACCACACTGGAGTTACAAAGAGCTCCAGGGATCACCCATCAGTGAGACAAACAGGCCGGAACATGGCGGACAGTGAGAAGAGACTCAGCCACACACACACGAGAAGACTGGCTAACTTGAAGGGAATGTTTAAGGACAGAACGCCCAGAGTCTTGGTGGTTTTGCATCTTAGTTAGGGTTTCTGTATCTGTGGGGGTGGGAGGAAGAAGGGTTTATTTTGTCTTACAGCTTGTAGCCGATCACCCAGAGAGTCAGAGCAGTAAGTTGAGGCAGAAGCTGATGCAGGGGCCATGGTTGAATACTGCCCCTCACCAGCTCACTCAGTCTTCTTTCCTATAGCGTGCGTCACTACCAGCCCAGCGGCGGCACCGCCTACAGTGAGCTGGGTCCTCCCACATCAATCATCAAAGGATGTGTCACTGGCTTGCCCACAGGCCAATCTTGTGGGGGCATTTTCCCCGCTGAGGTCCCTTCATCCCAGAGGACGCTCGCTGTGTCAAGTTGACATACAACTGGCCAACACACTGTCTTCTGCTGGTGTCTCCCCTCCAGACCAGGAAGAGGGGGAACTCAGAGCCAGCAAAGCCAGGAGGAATAAATTGAGGGTGTGGCTGCAACAAGCAGGGGGGTCAGACACAAAGCAGAAGAGCTGGGCTTAGAAGTGAAGCCAAGTCTAAGTGGCAGAGCAGGCTCCTTCAGGCCAAGGTTGAAGCTTCCTGAGTCCCTGCTTGAATTGTCACAGCCTGCTGAGGCCCAGGCAGCTGACGCTCTGCATGCTCACATGAGCAAGTGTTACCGTGGCAGGTTCTTCTTGGCCATTGTCTTCTCTGTACTGCAGGACACTTGGTCTCCCCACTAGCCCACACATGCTATTTCTCAGTGTCTCTACATAAACTGCGATGGGTTAGGTGCCCTAAATAAAAGGCAGTGCCTTGCATTCGTTGTTATGAACACAGGCTTGTGTGGCTGGAGAGTCCTGTTGCCACTCCATCAAAACACACATTTCCGTGTGGGCATCGCGCTGTAGGAAGGGCGAGGAATGGTTTAGCCGACTGCGCCATGACACCTGCAGGCTCCCCCTCAGGTGCTAGGCAAGCAGCTGCAGTATGCCAGCATCCTACGAGACTATGGGGAACCGAAAATGCTACCCTGGATGTCTAAGAGCACAGTTTGATGTCAGAGGGGCTGAGATGCTGGCATAAGCCAAGAGTCGATGACACTGCCGTGGTCTGTGCCAGAGACCGTGGCCAAGAAAAAAGTGTATAAAACAATAGGCAGCAAGTTACACTTGTCATCTGGTCGGAGACGGAGAGTAGGGCGCGGATGTCGTGGGCCAACGGGCAAGCAGGGAGGGAAAGGGCAGTTCCGCAGACTAGTAAACACAGTCTCCATGTGGGAAAATAGAACAAGAGGCAATGCTCCTCTTTTTGTAAAATGACATTTTACAAAAGAGCAAAAGGGCATGCGTGAATATACGAAATGGGGGAGGAGTACATTTAATAAATTAAGTGGAGACTTTTCTGGGTTGGCCCCGCAAGATGAAAGCCACGAAAATCATAGGTGATGTCATCATCTGCTTTCACTAGCATGGGAAAAAGTGCGCTGGGTGCTCGAGACTCAGGGGATTAAGGCATCAGGTGTGTTGTGCTGAGATTTGTAAGGTTGTTTTTCCACGTCGGTGAGTAGTCACAGGCACAGAAGTGGGGCTAGAGGAGTAGGGCGTGGCCCAGTGGGCAGAGCCCTCGCTACACAACAACATGAGGACCTGTATCTGGGTCCCCAGAACCGCATAAATCAGACTTGGCAATCCCAGCATTCCAAAGGAGAGATGGGAGGTGGAGACAGGGGGATCCCGAGGCTCCTAGGCCAGCTAACCAAAAAGTCCCAAAGGAACTAAAAAGTAAGACAAAAGAAGATGCATAAAATCAATCTAGTTTTTTGAAAACTAAGTGACTAAAAAAAATTACCAGCTCTAAAAATGCAAAAAAGAGAATTCCATCAGGGAAAATAGAGAGCAAAGGTTTGGCATATGGATGTCAAAACTCAGGTGTCAAAGAGGTTTTGAAAACCGGTTGTGCGTCACCAATTTTATATATATATACAAGATCAGTGTGACAGACGTTCACTTGCAAGAGCGACGGAAGGTTTTTAAAGTCCTAACAGTCCTGTTTCCAGTGACTCTCTGGTAACTGAGCTGTACAGCAGCAGCCGGCGTGTGACATCTCTCCAAATCTCAGGCACGTTCATTTATCGTTGCCTTTTCTCCTCTCCAGGAAAAGCACAAAGAAGAAATGACGATGGCCAAGTTAACTGAATCCATGAGTGAGTAACCTGACATTTATTATTTGCTTTTAGTTTTGAATGGAGAAATGCAAAAATCACACAAAGAGAAAATCCTGTCTGTCTGTCTACCTTTAATTCTGGGGATAGCTAAGGCCCATCTGATCTAGTATACTGCCCTGCATCCGTGTTCTTCATCTGATCTAGTATACCGCCCTGCACCTGTGTGCTCCATTTGATCTAGTATACCGCCCTGCATCCGTGTGCTCCATCTGATCTAGTACACCGCCCTGCATCCGTGTGCTCTATCTGATCTAGTACACCACCCTGCATCCATGTGCTTAATGCAATCCTCAAAATCCATCTCGGTTGGGATCAAGTTTCCAGGCTAAAAATGTTGCCCATGAATGGAGCTGAAAAAGGAAATGGATTTATTTTGTGTTATTGCTTTGAGGGTTGGGAAGTCACAATGATTTCAGCCTGACTTGTTAGAGATTTAGCCCAAGTTGGATGAAGTTTTGTGTGTGCCTATCTGGTGGGCTGGGCGGTATATAGAGAGGCCGGGATGATGGAGTCATGGATAAACCTACAAGGTGTCATTCAGAGTTTCCCAACAGACAGAAGAAACATGCATGAACTGTAAGCAGCTTGCGGTGATTTCCATTCTGGATGATAGGTGTCATAATGCCCTAAGCTCTTAAGCTGAATGAATGGAATCCACAAAGTATCTTGAAGAAGAAAGGGAAAATAATTATAATAAGTCGCTCTTCAAATGGCATTTAAATATTAAAGCCATGGGGCTGGGGGATGAGCTGGCTATTGTTTCTTTTGAAAGTATGTGTCGCTCCTGATAACAGCGTTCACGTGGAACCGCAAACCCTTCTGCGTTATCCTTAGAGCTATGAACTGCCTTCGTTTAATGCTTGGATTGTATGACTGCTGAAGCTGAGGGTTCCTCTATGGCAAAGTGCCTCATCCTTCCATGGTTTGGGTCCTCACTGGGGGCAACGGGGGAATAAGTAAAGACAGACACACGGCTACAGACATCTGAGCCTGGGTGGGCTGTCCTTGCCCTGATAGAGGAGCCACAGCACCCTGGACACTGTGTGTTCATTATATGTAGTTAAATGGGAAGGCAGGATCATTGCATACAATTGAACATGGGGTAGGTTTAGCTTGTCTGTGCATGAGAGCAGTCTTTAGGGTGTAAACATTGAGGGGAAAAAGCCATGGTGGATATTTTTTATACCCTGTCAGCATTCACACACCAGCCAGAAGAAGGCTTTGTCATGCCTCCAAGCCTTACCCAGGAAAAATTTTGCCACATCCATAGGGCTGAGGCATTGGTCCCTACCATTGTGGTGTCCGTGTCAACAATACATATTCACACAGGACTTCACTCCCGTCCCACAGCAGAGTCAAAAATCCTAATACCCGAACTTTCCAGTCTCTATATAAGATGTCAGAATTCCTCGATTCTTGCTTTCCTTTAACTCCTGACCCCAAACCTCTAAACGAGTGCAAATGAGTCCCAATTTCAGGCCAATGCCATCTTGTAACTGGGGGTTACAGGAGCAGAAGGATCGGGCACGGGCTCCTTGGCCTCTTCATTTCTGCATCGTCCTCTGCCCTGCTCCCTGCTTCATCCTGGGCTATCTGTGGCTTTATACATGTTGGAAATATTTCCTACTTGGTTTGAGGCCCCACAAACAGGGTCTTTATAAGAAGAAAAAGTCTCTCAAACTGTGTTCTTGTCAGATACGGCATGAAATCACACAACTTTCACGATAGGACACACATAAGAAGGTCATGGACAGTGGCCACTCCTTCACTATCTAAAGCTCAAAAGCTAAGTTCTAATCTCCAAACCCTAAGGGCCAATATAAATGACCCATGTATTATGTTTGTCTTCCTCCTCCTCACTCCTGTTGCCCAATTTTCCTTCTCTTTTTTCCTGTAGTCCTTTTTCACACTAGTGAGTGCGTGGCTTGCAGACATGAGTCGCTATGCCCAGCTCGACAGTTCCTCCAAGCGCTAAAGAGAACCTAGCACTGCCTGGGCTTTGTAACAAAGTTTCAGTCTCACGACCCATGTCTAACACTCTCTGGCTTAATCTACTCACACACGATCAAAATTGAACTCTGACTTCTTGAGAGGAGAAAAGGGGACAGCTGTTCTAAATTGCTCTGTCTTTGGAGGGGAAACATAGCTATGTCCACAGTACAAGGAGATTAAAGGCTTAAGAAAAGACTTCATCACTGTGCCCAAACATAGCAAATGTAGCAGCTCACTGATTCTTAGAAAGATGTGCACCTTTGTGATGTATATCAGACTTTAACCTTTTAGATTCCATGATATAGAGTCGTGGGTTAACACATAAACATGAAATTAAGATTAAATTTATGAATGATGAAGTATACAACTGCATATTTACTCTGCATAAAACACTGATAAGGAAATAAGAGCATCATTATGCAAGGAGCGTCAAATCAGTAAACCGCAGAGAGAATGAACAGTTATCACTCCATAAACGAGTGGGAACATCGCATCCGTGGCCACCGGAGAAAAGGGACATAAACAGAATCGCGAATACCCAGGACGCGGCGCTCTGAAATGGGTTTTCAGAGCCAGTAAACACTTCACTGGGCAAACTGCCAAGCAGAAGCCATCTGGTTACCAGATCGCCTCTGTGTTTGAGGAGAACTAACAGCAAAGCTTCTCATAGCACAACCTATCCAAATGCTGTTGAGGACTCGCAAGCCACACCTCCCTCCCTCCGTCTTCCCAGCCCACGCCTCCAACCAGCCACCTCAAAAAACACAGCCATGAGAAGTAAAAATATCAATAGGTTACCGAGTCCAGCGAGAAGCAACTATGTTTAATAAATACAATACTTTAAAATATTTTATGTCTCATTTTCAAAGCAAGGAGAGGAAAATAAAAACAGCATGAAAGGGAAATGATGGGGAGGACCGGAGAAAGCAAAAACACGGGAAATGTATATAGGAGAACTCAGAAGAGAGACTATCTCACAAAGAGAAACAGTAAGACAGGGGCAAAGAGGAAGCGTTGAGAAGTAGGGGAGGTGGCAAGAGAGGCCAGTGGCTCTAAAACAGCATAGCGCACAGACCATAACTGGCTGCCTCCTTGCCACCTTATGATGGGTGCTTTTTAATTAGCCTTTAAATTGCAATCGCTGTCTGCATCTATAAAATGGGCATTTTCCTACTTACTCTGTCAGAAACCCTATTTAAAAAGAATAGAGAGGGAATGGAGAGATGATTCAGTGGCTAAGATTACTAACTGCCCTTCTAGAGGACCCAGGTTCAGTTTTGAGCCCCTCGCTGCCACTCACAGCTATCAGTAACTCCAGTTCCAGAGGACCCAACTCCTGCTCTGGGCCTCCACGGGCACCTGGCGTGCACATGGTGTACAGACATGCATGCAGCCAGAACACTTATGCACACAAAATAATAAAATATTTTTAAATAATTAAAAAAAGGAGCATCCAGAAATCTCACAATGAATGACGTTGCTCTGAGTTTGCCCTTCCAGTACCCAGGACTCTAATGCCCATCAGTTGAGAGAAATTGATCTGAAAGACAGAGCCCAGTGGAGCTAAACGCGGTCTATAAATAGACACACAAAGACTCAAACTGTGCCATCATCAGAGGTGACACCGGAGTTTTCAAGCCAAGGTCCCACGACAACAAACTGGAGGTTTAGGGCCATGCAAACACCCAAGGGTCTCTAATATCACCACCAGTACCTGCGCAGGCTGTCCTCGCATAAACACTATCGGTAAACAGCCTCATGGTCGCTGCCTGTGCTGTGTCTCCTGGTCCCCATTTCAGAGCTCCTGGGAATATGTGGGGGTTGCACTCAGGATCTGACCCTGTATGGGGTGATGGAGTTGCAAGGATGAAACAGGTTGGAGGCCTGGACTGGTACCTTCTCCAGCTGCATGAGGTCCCTGTACAGTCCCTGCCAGCGTCCTGTACTGGGTTCTTGCCTCCTCCGCCCAAAGAGCGGCATATCTAAAAGGCATTGCTGCCTCCGTCGATGGAGGTCTCCTGATGTCGTTGATCCTGATAGGCCTAGAGTTGCCCTTCTTCTTCTGCCTCCATCTTGCCAGCGTCTCTCAGGCACATGTGTCTCAAGCCTCCTTCCCAACCAGTGTCCCTTGTGGTCCTCAGGTCATCTGTAGGGGCCATTCTGCCCTGCAGGTGCATCCCACCTGGACATCACGATCATAACACAGAGCCGGGAAAGGGCAGAGACTCCTCGGTGCCCTTGGGAAAGAAAGAAGGGAGTGGCAGCCCACAGCCTCATTCTCAGAGGCTTCGGAGACTCTTTCTACCCAGCCAGGGAGAGACAGAGCGATCTCCAGAGCCAAGGACCCGTCCTAGAGGTGCTCAAGAGTTCTCGTCTCTGTACTTTAGAGGGAATTCCCACCCTGACTAGAGAGCCAGCTCCAATACAGCTCAGATTTGAAAATTTCCCCCATCAAATGAAACGAGGAGATGAAACCGATTACAATCACCACACGTTAAATTAGCTCTATTAAAGCAAAGTGGTTTTTAATCATGTCTCCTAAGAGGAGCAGCTGGTGGAACTCTGGCATTGTGTTAAGGCACGGAACAGCGAGGAGACGGTGGCTTCATGCTCCACGCACAGCCTCTGGGGAGTCACCACCTAAAGCTCTAGGCACCCACGCTGCAAAGTGACCCGTCAGGTAGACACAGGGGGCAGGCACAGGCCTGCGAGGCTTCTCCTTCAAACCCCAGCATGCTCCTAGGTCTGAAGGACACCTGAAGGGTGAGCGGGCTCCCAGCAGGCCACCGAGGAGAGTGTGAGTGACCAAAAGAGGACAAAGAGCACAGCAGGAGAGGTCTGAGACACAAGGACAGGACGGAGCGCTGACCGCAGACAGGAGGTCAGATCATAAAATGGCCGCAAACAGCTTGGACTCCTCCTTTGATTAAGGAGAGGGTGGTGCTTGGGTTTTAAAGTGGGTTACCATTTTAGAATGAGTCTACAAA